AGCAAAGGATAACGGTTACAAATACCTAGGCATATTGGAAGCAGATAACATCTGCTGAAATGGAAAAGTCAAAGAGTCAATGCAAAAGGAATACATTAGGAGGGTCCGCAAAATATTAAAATCAAACCTGAATGCTGGAAACATAATTAAAACCATTAATACATGGGTAGTTCCAGTGATATGCTACCCAGCTGGAATCATCAACTGGACTTTGGCTGAACTGGAAAACTTGGACCGGAAAACGTGCAAACTTTTGAATATGTACCATGCTTTACATCTACAAAGTGACATCGACAGGTTGTACCTGCCAAGAAGAATAGGGGGCAGAGGGCTATTGCAAATCCATCAAACTGTAGAAGAAGAAAAACGAAGTTTGAATGATTATATGAATCAAAGCACAGAAAGATTGCTGCAGGCTGTGAAAATGGAGAACATTATAAAAACAACAGAAACAAAAGCAGAATATAAGGAAAAACAGTTGGATGACAGATTAAATGGAGAAAAAAACCAAAGCTTTACATAGACAGCACTTGAAAAACATTGAAGGAAAATGTGATAACAACTTGACATGGGCATGGCTTTTACCATAGCCATGATGGACAAACAGGTTTAAAAATAGCTTCTACCCATGGGCTGTCAGACTCCTAAACACAATATAGCACCACAAACAGATTAATATGACGAATTTCACTGGTGCCAGTGTAGTGTGTACTATGTATATACCTTGATATAAGATCAGATACCAGAGTAATATACATGTTGCACAGAATATGACGTACATACGGAAACATGTGACTAGTTTTTTTTTCCTGACTACTTGTGTAGGGATTATTCTTTGTATTGTTCATGTTGTCTTGTATTCTTGTATGGACTGCACCAGTAGAGGCTAAACCAATTTTGTTGTATACATGATGTACAATGACAATAAAGGCTTTGAACTTTGAACTTTAAGATGGGAACCATCAAGAAAGAAACAGAAGGTTTAATACTTTCTGCTTAAGAACAAGCACTACAAACTAATGCCATGAAAGCGAAGATACAAAAAACCACTGACAATCCAAACTGCCAACTTTGCAATGACAAAGTTGAAACTGTTTCACATTTAATATGTGAGTGCAGCAAAATCACACAAACTGATTACAAAGCTAGACATGACCGAGTTGCTAAATTAATCCACTGGCATTATGTAAAAAATACAACTTACCTGTATCCAAAAAGTCATGGGAACGTAAAGTGGAAAAAGTTATTGAAAATGAGAAGGTAAAGATCTTGTGGGACTTTCGAATACAGATGGATTGTCATTTGGAACACAACATGCCAGATATCACAGTTGTCGAAAAGCGAAGTGTACAGTTTATTGATATCGCTGTAACAGGAGATGCCAGAAACAAAGAAAAAGAATTGGGAAAAATTACGAAATATTGCATCTGGCCATCAAAACTACGCAATTATGGATGAAACATGTAACAGTGATACCCAATGTCACTGGGGCACTTGGTACTATGTCCAAGAATTTTATAAATACATCAATAAATTACAGATTCCTGCAATAACACCAACGGAACTGCAAACAACTGCACTACTCGGAACATCATACATCTTAAGAAAGTACTTGGTTGATACCTAGGATGCTGGCAGCAACCCGTATCAACCATCAGCGCCAGTCAATGATATTTGTGATACATTTTTAAATGTTCAGTTGACTGAGTTTCATGTTTAATGAATAAAAGATAATAATAACAACAACAACAATAATAGCCTCTGCTGAAGGAAGTGAATAAAGGAAAGCTCTTGAAAACAACAAGATTGAAAGCAGAATATTGAAAGGAAACAACTGAGCTTCTATGTGGATAAAGAAGCCTATGCACAGTCAATACCTGAAAGACATTGAAAGAAAGGTAGACACAAAGGTAACATGGAGCTGATTGAGATCAGGAGTGCAGAAGAAAGAAACTGAAGGCTTCATTTTGGCTGCCCAAGAACAAGCTTTGCAGACCAATTCCATGAAAGCAAATGTCAGCAACAAAAGCAAAGGTCACTTAGTTCAATTAAACAATGTATTAAAGATCTGGAAATCCAACAAGTGTCAGACCTCCCCCAATCTGATCCCTTAGGAAAGAAAAGCCTTAGATTCCATTTGGTTAAAGCAAAGAGTTCTTTTACAAAGAGTATTGGTTGCAGTAAAGTCAAGCCAGCTCTGAAATTACCACGCTTGCAGGATACAAAAATAAGGTGTAGGGTTTGCCCCCATCCCATCCCTCCCCCCTTGACCAGTCCATTTCCAGCCAACCAGAACTTGCCAAGATGTTTTGAGAACTCTGAGGTGTTGGGGGGTGTTCTGCATATTTCTCAGGGTGCCTGGGCATGGGATGCTGGTACAAACAGGTTCCAGCTATTCTGGTCCTTCTCACCTGTCATTCCCCCTCCCAAATTCCTATCATGTACACACAAAGCTTTATTGCCCTTTCATCTTTTCCCCCATTTTTCGCTTTCCTCCTCCCCCTCCCTTCTTCTTTTTATGGCAAGATGCCATAAAAAGGATGCCTTGTGAGGCCCCAAGCCAAGCCAGGCAGATCTGACAACAAGATTGGGCTGCTCTTCCCAAGAATGTTTATTTGAGCAGTCAAACTCTCCCTTTTAAAGCAGCAAGATATTTATATCAAATAACAAATCTGAACGGCATTAACTTTGGCACACTGCAATGCAATTTCCATGGCAGGGCCAATACAAAAAAATACCATGAGTTTATTCTGTGCCCTTGTGGTCAAGCGGCTATTGAAATTATAGCTCACATCCTGCTATACTGCATTTTCTGTAAGGACTCATGGACTCAATTTGTAACACCTTACCTAATAAAATATCTACAGTAGATATCTCTTGGCCAAGCCATTGTTTCAGTACTCTTGAACAGGAATCTGTGATTGGTATAGAGAGAATTATGGCTTGATATACTGTATTTAGAATATCATAGATCACGTAATATCAATCTGAAATATATCTTCGTCTTCAAATGTTAGCAGTGGTATTAAAGGCCACTCCATCCCACTCCCTTATTCAGTTACCATTCAAATATGCTATTACATTTGGAAAAGTAGTTAAATTAAATGTAGCATTTTAATTCTACAACTGGACTATAATTCTAACTCTACCTATGTTAACTTCAATGAAAACCACAGTTTAAGTTTCACGGGAAATTGCTATAGTATTTTTTATTTGGTTTCTTGAAAGAAGAAACCAAGTATATTGGAAAAGTACAATACATAAGCCATTAATATCTGTTTAGACTGAGCAACTTTGGCTTATAGACCACAATAAGAGCATTTCAAGTAAATTAAAACACTACACACATTATTTTACTTTATCCTCAATGGATATTGTTGAAATTTACTGCAAGTTCTCACAGCAGATAAATTGTTAGACTGAATAGAACATTCTGAGCTTGCAACATTATGAATTCAAAACACAGTGCATACCTCTAGCATGTTCTGAAAAAGAAGAAAAGAAGAAAAGTGAGGAACATTTTCAGGGAGGCCTTGAGGGATTAGCAAATGGTGTTTTGTTGAATTAATTAATTAATTAATTAATTAATTAATTAATTGGTTCAATTTATATGCCGCCCTTCCCCGGAGACTCAGGGCCGCTTACAATGCGTTAAGCAATAGCCTTCATACTTTTGTATATACCTGCTTAGTAGGGCTTTTGCCCCCCCCCCAAGCGGTGTTCTTTTTTATACAAAGTCAACTTATTGCCCCCACAATCCGGGTCCTCATTTTACCTACCTCGAAAGGATGGAAGGCTGAGTCAACCTTGAGCCTGGTGAGATTTGAACTTGCAGTAATTGCAGGCAGCTGGTGCTACTTAACAGCACTTTAGTCTGCTGCGCCACCAAGGCTCTTTATTCTGGTTATGTTCCCCTGGCTGCCATTTTGTAAATGAATAAGACCTCAGTAGCTATTTTACCAAAGACCTACAGTAAGTTTTCAAAATTTCAGAAGCGTTCTGTGATTGAAAAGGGTTAACGAAGTCTCTGCCAAAAAATAAAAATGCCATTGTTTGTGATGGGCTATCATTCATCATCTTCGTTGTTATTGTTTTAAATAGTTTTAAATGGGAAAAGTAAGTGTGCTCAGTTTTGTTTTGTGGGTGTTTTCATACTTGTTTTGTTCCATCATCTTTTTGTTCATTATAGGTGAAAGATCTCAATTAAATTTCATCTGATTTCAAAAGACGGAGAACACTTATGGAACAGAACCAAAATAAATGGTATAGGAAATATATGTTACATAAATAATGTTGCAGGAAATAGGGAACATATATCTTTAAGAGTATTTTTTTATATGTTATTTCATGGTTATGAAAGACATAAATTAAAAGGATTCAAGACCACAGAAAGTTTTAAGAGCTAGAATCAGGTAGCAGAAGCAGATTTGGAAAGTCCATATAAGGATTTAAGAAAATGTCCTGCATGATTGTTACAAGTAGTAGGGTTCATGCAGAAAATGGAATGTTGGTACTTTAAAGCAATTTCCGTAAACATTTGGTTATTTACAGATAATACTACAGTATATTAAAGCTACAGGAAAATAATTGCATTGGAAAACAATAGCAAAAATTGATAAGTGGTCCTAATAGTATTTTGCTTGACCAGAGTTAGACTTCATGTTGGAATCGTGATCGGAGATGCCGTCTCTCTATAAATACTGGTGGGGAGGTGGGGAGTGCTGGCTTTGTTGTTGTAAGCGGGTTGGTTGGCTTTGTTGTTACATCTTGATTAGTTGATGGAGTTGATGTTTGCAGATTAGTCGGCTGTTTCGTGACATCCTGTGTGGGCGAAGTCCTGGCTGTGTGCCCATTAGTCTTTTGTGTTATAACGACCTGGGTAATGGGTTGTGTGGTAGCATCCTGAGCTCTAGTATTGTGACATCCTGAGTTCTGTGATGTATTGTCTTGAGCAAATGGCTGTGATGCAACATCCTGGGCTTTGGTTTGGCTCCGAGTCTGAGGTCTTGTTATGTGCTCATGGCATGTGTTAGTTTGCCCTGTGTGGGGAGCGCAGCAGCTGACGATGCCGCCGTGGTCTGGCCTCTGGACGGTGGCTGCACGTCGTCCATGGGATGGAACTGGGTCTGAATCTGATGAGGATGATTGGTGGTAGCGTCATGTGCCATCCTGGGTCTGGTGTCAATGCTTGTGGCTGGGGCTCATTTGTTGACCAGGGCTAGTTTCCAGATGTCTGGTAGGCGGGAGGTATCATCACGTTTATTCATGTTATGGGGGTGTTTCTCTATTTCGATGGCTTCCATAATTATTCTCTTGTTGAAGTGTTCAGTTTTGGAGATTTATTTGGTTCCTTCAAAATCAATTTCATGTCCTGTTGTTTCAAGGTGCAGGAAAAGGGAGGAAGTTTTTTCTTCTTTTCTGACTGCGTTCTTGTGTTCTGTGATGCGTGCATTTATTCTCCTATTGGTTTGTCCAATGTATGTGGCTGGGCAGATTTTGCATGATACTTCATAGACTCCTTGGTTTTCTAGCTGGATCTTGTCTTTGAGGTTTCTTAAGATGTTGGCTATTTTTTGGTCAGGGCAGAAGGTTGTCTTGATGTTGTGTTTGTGGAAAATTTTGCTGATTTTATCTGTGGTGCCTTTGATGTAAGGGAGGAGGGTGATGCCATTGTCTTGTTCTGTGTCTCGGTTCTTGGGGGGTGTCTCCCTTTGGATTAGGTTGGTAATTGTGTTTTTTTGGATCCATTAGAGATTAATACGTTTGTGAGAATGTGTAATTCAGTTTTCAGGTGGTCTTTGTCGGCTAGGCGTTTGGTTCTGGAGATGAGAGTCTTGGCTACAGAGTTGATCTGTGCAGGATTGTGATGTGATTGAGCGTTTAAGTAGTGGTTTGTGTGTGTTTTTTTCCCGGTAGATGGTGCATCCTAGGGAGCTGTTAGGTTTTCTGTAACTAGGACGTCCAGAAAGGAAAATTGGTTGTTAGCTTCTATTTCCATAGTAAATTGTATTTTGGGGTGTAGGTTGTTGAGATGTGTGAGGAAGTTGTCCAGTTTTTTCTTTCCATGTGGCCAAATTATGAAAGTGTCATCTACATATCTGAGCCAGAGTTTGGGTTTATGTTCAGATTTATCTAAAGCGTTAGTTTCAAAGTGTTCCATGTATAGGTTTGCGATGACGGGTGAGAGGGGTCATCCCATAGATGCTCCTTCTATCTGTTTGTATCTTTGTCCATTGTGGATGAAGTATGTGTTGGTTAGGCAGTGGTTGGTCAGATCTAGGATGTGCTTAGGGCGGTTGTATTTGTTTTGGATAGCTGTCAAGGCTTCTTTTATAGGCACTTGGGTGAAGAGGGATATGACATCGAAACTCACAACTGGGCCCCTGGGTTGTAGGTTTTGTTTATTGTTTCTATGAAGTGGAATGAGTTTTGTACATGTGAGGTGATGGATTCTGCGTAGGGCTGAAATTGTTTGGCAAGAAATTTGGCAAGATTCTGTAGAGGTGAGCTATGGAGCTGACTATGGGTCTGAGTGGTGTTCCTTCTTTGTGTATCTTGGGGAGGCCATAGAGCTTGGGGCATCTGGATGATTTCTCTCTGGGGATGGTTCTTTGCTGGATCTCTTCACTGATAGGAGAGGCTTTTATTTTGGATTTGGTGGTTTTTTTCCAGGTAGGTGGTGGGATCTGTGTTTAGAGGTTTGTAAGCGGGGTCTTGGAGTAGGTTGGATAGTCAGATGTGTTCATCACCACTGTGGCATTACCTTTGTCTGCTGGGAGAATGATTATGTTATTGTCTTTCCTCAAGTTGTTAAGTGCTTTTTGTTCTTCTTTGTGTAAGTTGCTTCTGGGTGGATTGCTGGGGCAGAGGACATTGGTGACTTCAAGTCTGATTTTATTGGCTTCATCTGGGTTGATTTTGGTTAGGCTAGCTTCAACTCCGCATATGATGTTTTCAGTGGGGATGCGACTGCAAAGTTGAATCCTTTAGAAAGGACATTGGTTTCTGCTATGGTGAGGGTCCTGTCTGATATGTTATGTACTGTTTGTTTCATGAGTTGCTGTGGAGGGGGGTTGGGCTTCTGGTGTTTTTCTAGTCTGTGCAGTTTGTTGGTGTGTGTGTCTGTCTCGTGGGAGGTTTCTGTTTCAGCTCTCCAGAGGGCTAGTTGTTTGGATTTGTCCCAGAGTGCTGGGTGGATTTTGTTACTGAGTTTGAGGTGAAGAGTGAGTAGGTCTCTGTTGGTTTGGTCTAGTAGGATCTTTTCTGTGGAGTTCGTTTCTGATTAGGGTTAATTCAGTTCTTTTCAGGATCCTTTTGGTGGCCAAGGTTTTAGAATGGAATTTTAGTTGGAAGCATATGGGGATTACGTTTTTGTCTCGGCAGTTGCGTAGGAATGTGAGGTCACGTAAGATGGTAGCTCTTTGGACTTTGAGTTTCTCATTGGTCCTGGTCAGCAGGAAGGTTTCCTCCCTGTAGAGGTAAGATATTTGTTTTTGTAGATTTTCACGGGTACAGGTATGCAAGTCTTGGCGTATTCAGGTCTTTTCCCATGTAAGATTGAGAGTATCTTGGTGACGTTTCGATGAGGTCCCACTCGTCATCTTCAGGCTGATGTCTTCGGCTTCATGCTTGTGCGAGCAAAGCGTGATCAGAGCTGCCATCTCTCTATAAATACTGGTGGGGAGGTGTGGGGTGTTGGCTTTGTTGCTGTGAGCGGGTTGGTTGCCTGTGTTGTTACATCTTGATGAGTTTGCAGATTAGTCATATGTTTCATAACATCCTGTGTGAATTAGGTCCTTAATGTTTGCCCATTAGTCTTTTGCGTTTTAACGACCTGGGTAATGGGCTGTGTGTTGACATCCTGAGTTCTAATGTTGTAATATCCTGAGTTTTTTGATGTAATGTCCTGAGAAGATGGCTGTGATGCCACATCCTGGGCTTTGGTTTGGCTCCGAGTTTGAGGTCTTGCCATGTGTTCATGGCCTGTGTCAGTTTGCTTTGAGTGGGGATCAGAGAGGGGGGGTGCAGCAGCTGGTAATGCCGCCGTGGTCTGGCTTCTGGATGGTGGTTGTATTTCGTCTATGGAATAGATAGACGAAATACAATCACCATCCAGAAGTGTTCTATATATAGAAGTAGTTACCAGAATGAACAAATAAAATATTTGCTGTTAAGTGTACTTCGAAAATTTAAAAAATTGGACCTACCTCTGCCCTTACAATTAAACATTTTTTTGATTAGAACTCTGTTGCTCTATTTTTGGTGCAGCAACAGGAAACAGGACATCTGAACACCCCAGTTAAGGACATCAAGCAAACAAGACATAAGTGACATGGTCCAAAGTTCTAGTGTTGGACATAAGTCAAAGCAGATGTTTTCATTCCTTTTCTTCTGAGTACATTGACCTGTTTCCAGAAGATGCGCCTACGTCTATGAACATCTGTGTTTGCATTTAAACACAGGTTAAAAGAAAGTACTTTGTTTACAACCTAACAGTTTGTATCTAGTGCTCCAGGCCAAGTAAATAATACACCAAGGACAATTTGTGCTCATTTGTCATTTCTTGGAAGTCTGGGTTTAAGCTTATCTCCAAAATTTAAGTTTACTCTATGAAAGAGATGATACAAAGAACAGGGCTGCACTACAAATGAAGAGAAAATGTGAAAATTTAATTTGAAAAGCAAGATGACAATAATGCTTTATGATTTCAATACAATATATTGTTGCCTAGATTTCTGACCTACAACCAGTGATTGATTCCACTCAATCAAGTGACATTGGAAGCTATCAAAACACCAAGTGGCCAGGATACCCACCTAACCAAAGGGTAATATACAACTGCTGAAAAAACAAGCGAAATAAACAGATGTGGTGGAGATATAGAAAGTAACAAGAGGAGAAGCAAACATAGCATGAGAAAAATAAAATCTAGTTTAGAAAGTGTATGCTTGCTAACAGAAGTGCCTTAGAAAGGCTTCAATCTATTTTCCCCCATAACTATGTTTTGCTATGTTCCTGTTTAAGTATTGGAATATATTTCATCATTGTTATTTGCTTTTTTTCTCAAGGCTTAGTGCCAGTATAGGAATTACCATATCAGCAATGCCACAATACTGATAGGCACCTTCTCTGTGCAAAGAGTCATATTGTAATAGACAATGATACAAAGTGAACAGCACTGTGTCATGTATATGCAGTGATGGGATTCAGCCAGTTCGCACCACTTCGGGAGAATCAGTTGTTAACTTTCTGAGCAGTTTGGCAAACTGGTTGTTGGAAGAAATCATTAGAGCAGAGAACCGGTTGTTAAATTACCTGAATCCCACCACTGTGTATATGGCATGGACAGGATTTAAAAAACAATGAAGACATTGCAGACACTGTTGGACGAAGGGATTAATTTAACTTGGTTACAATATAATCAATTACAATTGAGATGGAAAGAGGACCAAAAAACTGGTATTATGTTGCATGAGGAAGAATTGGTTAGACATATAAGAGAGAAAGGTCCAATGCATATCAAGAGGCTTTATAATGTTTTGCTAGAAAGGGACTCAGAAACTGAATTAGTTAAAGATTGTATGATTAAGTGGGCACAAAATTTTGAAGAACCAGTGATGTTGGAAACATGGGAAAAAATTTGGGTTCAGAATGTTAAATTTACACAGTCGCAGAACCTGAGGGAAAATTTATATAAAATGTTTTATAGATGGCATTTAGATCCCAAAAAGTTGTCATGTATGTACCCTAATGTTCAGCCAAAATGTTGGAGATGTGAATGTTTGGATGCTACGTATTATCATGTTTGGTGGACCTGTAGGAAAGTTAAGGCTTTTTGGATAAAAATTTGGTGGGTCATGCAGAATGTTTTGAAGAAAAAAATTCAATTCTCTCCACAATTGTTTTTATTGGGTATAGTTAAGGGTTTTACATTGGGTGAAACAAAATTGATATTGTATATGATAACAGCAGCAAGATTGTTGATAGGTAAATACTGGAAGAATGAAGCTTTGCCCACTATCGAGGAATGGACTTTGAAGATGGCCAGTTTTGCAGAGATGGCGAAGATTTCAGCATATTTAAAAGATTGTTCACAAGAGACTTATGAATGGGAATGGAAAAGGTGGATAGAATATGTTCAGAACAAATATCAAACTAGAAAGTATCAAATAGCTTTTATTTGAAAATAATGTATTGGAAATATTTTAATGTAATGAGGTAAAGAGAAAAATTATACAGGGGAGGGAGGGGTTCAAGTTTATATATAAGTGTTATATTAAGGGTTTTTTATGAGTATGAGTATATTATAGGGAAGTCTGGGGGGAGGGTTAGGGAGGGTTAGGGAGGTTGGGAAGTCTGGGGGGGAGGTGGGGGGGGAAAAGGGGTGAAAATGTAATTGTAAAACTTTTGCAATAAAAAAAAACAACTTTCTGAGGTGGAGACAGTTTTTAGAAGCTAGATAAAATTTATGCAAGATATTTCTTTTAGCTTTTATATGATTCTATTTAAAAATGGCAGGAAAGCCAGTTGTTCATTTTCAGCAGAAGTGGTGAAGGGTTCACTGGGGGCATCAAAACAGCATGGGAAACTTTTCAAACTGCATGTCTACTTCTTCCAGGCAGCGATGAACCTATTGGAGCCTTGTTTTCTTAATCTTGAATTGATGCTGTTTATGAGATACCGTATTTTTTGGTCTATAAGATGCACCCCAAAAAAGTGGGTGGAAATATCTGTGCGTCTTATAGAGCAAATATTGCCAAAGCCCTGCCAGCCATTTTCGGCCTCCACACGCCCCGTTTTTGGCCCATTCCAATGATAGGCAGCAGTGGTGATCGGCAGTGATAGCCGGCGGCAATCGGCAGCGATAGATGGCAGTGGGCGCCCCCGCTGCCTGGGACAGATAAAAAATGGGACATGCAGAGACCAAAAATGAGGTGTGTTGCACGGAGGCCAAAATGGGGCACATGGAGGCCGAAAATGGGGCATGCTGAAGCGTCAATGGTGGCGGCACCATTGGGCAGCGTTGATCCCCACAGCCTGAAACATCTGATTGGCGGTATTCCAGGAGGCCGATCCAACCACGAATCAGCTGCTCATGCTAAATCAGGCTGCAATAACGTGCTGAAGCTGACCAGGCTGTTTGCTGCAAGGACGCTAGAATACCAATGGATGCTGGGAGGCAGAGGCAGATTTTTTTTTCTTATTTTCCTCCCCAAAAGCTAGGTGTGTTTTATGGTCTGGAGTGTCTAATACAGTGGTGTGTTCCTCCCGGTTACGCCCGGTTATGCCCGGTTACGCCGAGCTGGTAGCGGTGACGATATGATGTCACCGAACTGGTTCTGCCCCCACCGCCCCCACCCCCATGTTATTCTTACCTTTTATTTGGCCCCACCCCCCAATCTATTGCTGCCTCTTGAGTCCCAGCTGATGGGCAATAAGGAAAAAAACTGTTTAAACTCTTGCCGCGGGGCTTCAATGGGCAGCCCTAGAGCTGATCAGTGGTAAAAGGCAGTTTGGTGGTAGACCGGTGTCTCCAAAAACAAATGAGTAGACCGGTGTCTGCAAAAACAAATGGATAGACCAGTGCCTGCAAAAATACATGAGTAGACCAGTGTCTGCAAAAATAAATGGGTAGACCAGTGCCTGCAAAAATAAATGAGTAGATCAGTACAGCTCTGCAAGCAGTTTAAAGCCTGGTAGACCAGTACTCTGCTAAATCCTAAAGAATTGTCACATGACCATCAAGCCATGCCCACAAAATAAGCCACGCCCACAGAACCGATAGTAAAAAAATTTAGAACCCACCCCTGGTCTAATAGTGCAAAAATACGGTATATCATTTCAGAGCACCGAAATGACCTTAAAGAAATAATAAAAATAATAATAACAATAACAACAACAACATTTAATACTCGCTGCTCAAGAACAAGCACTACAAACTAATGCCATTAAAGTGAAGATACAAAAAAACATTGACAATCCAAACTGCCAACTTTGCAACAACGAAGTTGAAACTGTTTCATACTTAACATGTGAGTGCAGCAAAATCGCACAAACTGATTACAAAGCTAGACATGATTGAGTTGCTAAATTAGTCCACTGGTCTAATGGTGATCCCATTGCGAACTGGTAGTAAAGGTAAGTAGAACCCACCCATGGTATATAAATTTTATTAAGGCCACTGGCTGATAAAATACTACAGAGAATTAAAATAAAATACAACATAAAAGACAATTTTTGAAATGAATGTCATATTAATAGTTCCTAAAAGTTAATGAAGTAATTTTTTTGTAGAAAGCAATGGCAGCTGAAAGAAATTAGGAAATTCTCCTAGAAATATTAAGGCTTCTGTCCAATGTAAGGTGCAAATGAAATCATTATCTATCTCATACCTTGGGATATTACTGTTAGTAGGCAAAATTTAAGGAATGAGTACAAGTTGCGAAAGAAATAATGTTTAACAAATACATAGCTTGAGTTTCAGGTTTCTCCAAATCTCTAGAGCAGGTTCCCTTCACGTTGTTGTTCTATATTCCCTCCAAAATTTAAAGACAGAGAATTTAAAGTGGGCTAAAGAAATGGCCTGCAGTGTATTGGGCAAATAATATTGAATGATAATTGGCCAGTGTAAAAACAATTTCTATTTGTAAGTTTTATAAATGTTTCTATTAGTTTTTTGCTTTCTAGAAAGAGAATAGATCAAGAAAGAAAATTGATCAGGCAGGGATTTGTTAATAAAGTGGATTTTAAGACAAAAGTAAAGCCGACATATGTGATCCCTTGATTCCAGGAAAATCAATTCTATTTCTAAACAAAGTGCTGAATTCAAGAAGAAGCAAGGTAGAAATAGCACTCTTAGGAGTGCTATTAGGAATTTTGACTAAATTAATGTAAGGGTAGTAAGTGATATATACACATACCTGGGAGCCATGTAACATCTGGGAAAGATATTTAACTTTAAAGAGATGTGCCGGCTACATATACTATATGCTCTTGCCTTTTTGATATAAGTTGGGTGTAGAAGTTAAAACTCTAGGCTAGAAAGTGAGAGGCCATGAGTTCGTCTTGGCTAATGCTTCAGCCATTAAAGCCAGTTCGCTTTGAGCTAGACACTGTTTCTCAGCCTTATCCACCTCATAGAGTTGTCGTTGGGAAAACAGAAGGAAACTGTGTTGTATATATTTGCCACCTTGAGTTATTGTATAAATTGTATAAATAATAAAGGCTGGATACAAATAAATAAGTAAATAAATAAAACACACCTTAGCATGTTAGCATTATTGAAAATAAATTTCATTTGTTCATGAATTAAATATAAAATATTTGAAGACTGGAATCTGGTCTGAAAGATTTTTTTTTAACTCTAGCATTTCAATCTGGGAAGATCTTTTCTAAAAACAATTTATTTTGAATCGCTGAAGCACTGTCGGATAAAAATAAAAAACAATTGGGATCTTGAAAGTAATGGAATATTAAATTCAAAGATTTTCTTAATCTTTGACATCTGTTAATTGTAATTAGCATTCACTATTTTGTTTTA